GGACTCCATTTTATGCTGAATCAGGTGGTCAGATAGGGGATTGTGGTTTTTTATACGTAACTGGAAGTGAAAACCAACGGACGGCTGTTGTTGAGATAAAAGATGTTCAAAAGTCTCTAGGTAACATTTTTGTTCACAAGGGCACTATTAGAGAAGGTGTTTTGGAAGTTGGCAAGGAAGTGGAAGCTGCAGTGGATGCAAAACTAAGACAGCGAGCTAAGGTAGTTACCTAGTGGCAGTCACTAATTTCTTTCTGCAAGAAAAAAAAAAAAGCACAATTTAAACTACATAATTCGAATTTAGCATCCTAATTTCCTAGGTGATTTCTTTCACTCAAGCAGACTGATTTGATGCTAAACATTGATATTGAATGATATAGTTTCACTGTTATCTATGCTATTTTTATTTTCCTATTTTCAGGTTCATCATACTGCTACTCATTTGCTACAAGCTGCACTTAAAACAGTGATAGGACAGGAAACGTCACAAGCTGGTTCATTGGTGGCATTTGATCGGCTTAGGTTTGACTTTAACTTTCACCGACCACTTCTCGACAGTGAGCTAGAGGAAATTGAAGGACTGATCAATGGGTGGATTGGAGATGCTACACTTCTTCAAACAAAAGTAATGCCCCTTGATGATGCAAAGAGAGCTGGTGCTATTGCAATGTTCGGAGAAAAGTACAGCGAACAGGTTTCAATATCTCCTTTTTATAAGATCTGTCTATTCAGATTTTTTTTTTCGTTTCATTCACAAAGCATATAAAATAGATTCAGATATTTTGGCAAATTGTTCACTTTTATATTTTTCTATATGTGTATGCATGTGTGCATATATGTATATCATATATATATATAATCAATATACATATATATAGTTTGTCTGACCATTGGCTATAACTGAACATGAATCTTAAAGCATATCTGCTAACAAGCAGAGGACAGAAGAATATAGTCTCTCAAAATTCTCTCTTAATTGGTCATTTAAGAAATATCATTTTCACATCTTCTGGTCTGATTGAATAGGAAATTCAACTTTAGGGAGCTTTGATCAAAGTAAATTTGTGTTTCAATGCTTCTTTTTCCTGTCACGAATTTATCAATCATTTTGCAAAGCACTGACAACTGGCACCAGCGCAGCAATTTATGATTTGGGTTTGTGTTTACATAACTATGAGGAACATTTCGGGAATATGAATACAAAATATATATAGTAGACATTATATTCTGGGTGGAACATTCAGGAACCAAATGACGCGGTTTTCCTTTTCCTCTCGGTTTGCTTAGGTTCGTGTTGTAGAAGTTCCAGGTATATCCATGGAACTCTGTGGTGGGACCCATGTCAGCAATACTGCTGAAATACGTGCCTTCAAAATAATGTCAGAACAAGGTATTGCATCTGGAATCAGGCGTATAGAAGCAGTTGCAGGTGAAGCCTTCCTCGAATACATGAATGCCAGAGATTCCCAAATTAAACGTCTATGCTCCACTCTCAAAGTATGTTCTCTTCTGTATTGCATATGATTGCAGCACAAAGTTAAAGCTTATACTTGATCGATGCTGCTTTTTCCACTGACAAGATTAAAATTTTGAGAGATCCCTTTCCATAAAATACTTAATTTTCACCAAATAGTCAACAGCTCCGCCATACTGAAAGCAAGAAGAACTGGTTGTATCTAGTATCTTAGAAGATTCAGTGCTTTAGGGACCCCACTAGTCCATGGGAACTTGTGGCTGGACAAAGTTCTTTTAGCAAATATGCTGTTATCTTAACCTGTTTGGTGCTTACATAATTTAGTTTTACTGGTGTTTGTCTTATCCATTTTTTTTAATTATGAATGTTGTAGTTAAACTGTTGTTTAATACCATTTTTGCAAAGGTGAGAGCTGAGA